ACGTGGTTAGATTTTTTCTGAAGTTTTATACGCGTTATTATATATTAAGACAAAGAAGGTAACAGTAAAAAGGCCCCCCCCCCCCCAAAAGAAAATTTTAAAAAAATGAAAATCTTATTAAAAACTCTTAATTAAATTTTAAATTGAATATTTTGAATTCGTCATCTAATAAAGCAGAAATTCTGTGGTACCCCCTTCCCATCATGCCCTAAGCACGTTCTTATTTTGCTTAATAGTTGATATCCAGGCCTGCACGTGCACAAAGTAGATTATCGTAGGTTAACGAACGGAAGATAACAAATCAGAAACGACTAGATGTAGGTCCTTATTCACAAGATATCTTAAGTCTAAGATAGTCACTTAACTACTAGATTTCACTTAAATATACGTAACTTCCTGTAAGTTACGGGTAAATGGTATTCAAAGGCAGAGTTAAGTATCGAATTTTCCCTTAAAGTTAAGCTGCCTTTACCCTTAACTTGGAAGTGTTTAGTATTTTAGCGGTAATGACATTATAATGACTTCTTTTAACCAGAGTACACAATGTAGTAGCAGGCCCGTAATGGCGATTTTAAAAGTTACGGAATTGAGATTGAAAAAAACACAATGTCGCTGAGCGTAGCTGGCATCAAATGTTCTTTGGGGTTTTTTTTCATCATCAGCTTTGATTTTGTAGAGCCATAATAGTGTATAAGGTTACTACTTCCGAAATGGTCAAGGGTTTTTTTCCCCGTCATCTATCATGTTCGTATTGCTTAATCAATCATGTTTGTCACGACTGTCATATAATAAAGTTTGATGCGTTAAATTTATTTGTAAATTTGACATTGCGATAACATTCATTCCATTATAGATTTCAGAAAATATTAATACGGCCACGAGAAGCAAGGCGTGGTTTATTTTTTACGGTTTATTCTCATATACATATTTGAAGTTTTGATTACTATATGTTCTTGTCTTCGTTTATATAAATTTGCAAATATCTGATGATGACTGATGATGACTACCACTATTCGATAACTGCTATTTAAATCTATTGTTTTTGAAAAACATTTATACGAAAACAGTTGTTCCGGCAACGTATGCGTACCATCATAATTTATCATAAATTATAGTCATACCATTTTCGTGCGTTACAATATAATATTTCGACAACCATTTTCCTAGTAATGACAACTAAGATTTTAATAGGGTATAGTGGTACTCTTAAGGGGACATAACTTGCGTGCAACGTGAGTAATTCGTGATTTTTGGCAGTGGAGGTTATTCCATAAGTTAAAAATTCATGCTTTTTGGCTAATGTTGGTATTCCATATTTTAAGTGTACAGTTTTAACTTAACAGTTTTTCACACAGCCAAGTATATATAAAATAGAGCCTTTGAATACCGATTTAAGGTAAAACACTTAGTTAAGTGGAAAAATTAAGTATTTTTACTTAACTTTAAGAAAACCTTTGAATACGGACCCTATATAGCCTATACCTTTAAGACAAAACGCTGATTTAAAGATGGGGTCTCACTGGAGCGATCTTCACCAACCAGTAAAATATATAATTCGGATCTGATTTGATTTTATTTGATTTGATTGTACAGTTCCATGTACAAATTAGATTTAGTTAAAATATGTTACATATCAATCCATCACTGAATAAGAAATGTTTCCCAAGTTCAAGTTGTTTTAAAGTGGGGGGGGGGGCGAATGGTTAACGCGTGCGCGTGGGATCAGAAGGTATGCCTCAAATAGCGTGGTTTCGATTCCCCGCTTGTACGTGACAAGGAGTAGGGTCGAACACTACGCGCAAGCGAATTATAGAAATAAAATTGAACCATAGGTTAGCCCCGAAGTGACCTAGTTTGTGTCAAGTGGACGTTACCCCCCCCCCCCCTCTCTCCCTCTCGGTGAATCTTGGGGAATCAGCAGGAATCAAGCAGAAACAGCAGGATTGAAGAATTTTCAAAATTCGAGCCACATTCGGGAGGAATTTTCGAATTGACCAAAAATCATACAGCTTTGTAATGCGCTTCGAACCCCCCTCGAATGATTCTTGTACATTCCGGGTGTATTAGTTCTCGGATGTAGTTGGAACACAGTAGGAATATTTAGAATGCTGTTAGAATGCAATCAGAATATTTAGAAAGCACCTCGAATGTCGTACGAGTGCGGCTCGATTGCTGTCCAAATACCGCCCGAGGTATTCCGACGGCATTCCGACTCATTCCGCCTCTAGTGTGACTATATCAGTTTCTTTATTTCCCTGTTGAATACCATTCTAGGCAACAATGGACACGTTTGAAGTTAAAGTTGTAACAGAATATAATCAGATGATGATAACTAGTATTGACGAGATATCAACTATAATCTGTTCTATACCAACGTCTGGTAATATTCCCGTTTCATCAAGTATTTCAGAAATCACATACGGTGAAAAGTAAGTAATGTCTTGTGTAGCCTATTTGGATATATGGTATAGAAGATTCTAAAATAGTAAATTAAAAGGCTTGTAGTGGGAATGGCCACAGGCGCTTGTAAACTGGGAAATATCTTTCCAGAACAACATTATAAGCTGAGGCTACATTCTATGAAGTTCATATAAGCGAGATAATGAAATTCATGGACAAATAAATGATTCTTCCGAAACCGCTTCTCAATCACCCAATAATTACTGAGAGTGCGGGTATATACCACTCCCGGTTCCCTTTAGTTCTCTTCGATATCGACCTCGTTCTCTAGGATCATTCGACCGCTCCCACTACAAAAATATGACGTGGTGATGAGCTAATGTCATGGATTTAACCGAAAAGGCGTATTTATTTTTAAAATTTTCACAGAGAAAGATGGGGTCAAAGGTAGAACATTAGGGTTTAATCGAAAAAAATCCTTGTTATAAAAACCTGTATTTGGAAATTGATTTTATGAACCCGAACCTTCGTGGGAGATGGAATTTATGCCGGTAGCGAACATCTAACCGACGAGACGCCGGGGATTATCTGAAGGACTGTTTTATTTACCTCAAGCGGAACATCTCCAGCAAATATTCTTTGGTGTGCACAGGCCTTAACGTAGGATTTGAGTTTTGTCCTAAACATAAGACGCAGTCTAATACTGTTCTAATAATATCAATTTGATATTATTTCCAGTGTTTACCAATCAACAAATACAGTTGCAGATACTTACAGTCCTGTTTCCTTGGCATTTTTAACAGTTAATAACACGGCTTTAAGAGATAATACAGTACAGCTAGGAGATGTTATAACTCTTAAATTTACGCTTGTGCAATCACCAAGTAAGTCAATGGTAACGAGCATTAAAAAACATTAAAAGGAAAATATTGGTGTCAGTCATGTGATAGAATTGGTTAAACACATTCCAAATAATTATAATTTTACAGAGATCATTGCTACAATAGCGTTATGAAGATTTCAAGAAACGGAATTGACGAACGCAAAAGGAAAACACGAGTTATCCTTCAATATATCTGACAGAAGTGACGAGTGATAACAGATACACGGGTGAATTTCTGCTCACTAATAATTCCTTCGAAGGCGAATAAAGTTATGAGATGCTGTGAGGGGATATCTGTCGATTCAAAAAGATAGGTTGCCAGGCAACGAAACATACGCACACAACAGCTAAATCGTCCGGGCAGTCAACAAGAGTTGTTGCATATTTTTTTATTTTTTTCGGTAATGAAACATTTATAATACACTAAAATCTTATTAAGAGCAACAACTCATGAAGTAATTATCAGAAAACCATTAGAATTTGTTTGTTTTTATAAAGTTATGCCCCATGCTAACGTTTTGTATACAAAACTTTTAATATCATGGATTTAGCTGTTCAAGACATAAAAATTCATTGAAAATCAATATACTTGTTCGTCTCAAGATCTTAAACTTTGTGTATCAATCTGAAGTCAATCGGATGATAACTTTAGCCTTTAGAGCGTTACAAAGTGATCAAGGGCCATAACTTTGGCAGTAATTATCGGAAATCATTGAAAATCAATAGGATTCTTTGTCTCATGACCTTAAACACTGTGTATAAATTTAAAGTCAATCGGATATTAACTTTGGCCTTTAGAGCGTCCACAAGATTTTTTCAAGTGATCAAGGGCCATAACTCTGGCAGTAATTATCGGAAATCGTTGAAAATCAATAGGATTCTTCGTCTCATGACCTTAAACACAGTGTATAAATTTAAAGTCAATCGGATATTAACTGTGGCCTGTAGAGCGTTACAAAGTGATCAAGGGCCATAACTTTGGCAGTAATTATCGGAAATCATTGAAAATCAATAGGATTCTTTGTCTCATGACCTTAAACACTGTGTATAAATTTAAAGTCAATCGGATATTAACTGTGGCCTATAGAGCGTCCACAAGATTTTTCAAAGTGATCAAGGGCCATAACTCTGGCAGTAATTATCGGAAATCGATGACCTTAACATTGTGTATAAATTTAAAGTCAATCAGATATTAACTTTGGCCTCTAGAGCGTCCACAAGCAATTGTGGACGACGGACGACGGACGGACTGACGGACGGACGGACGGACGGGGGCGACAACAATATACGACCACATTTCAATGTGGGCGTATAAAAAGGGATTGACTGTCACTAGGTAAGAGAAAATAGAAAAAAGTCCGTGCATTACCATGTTTTTATTAAAGAATGAATCAAAACGAGGGAATGTACGGACTATTTCTATTGTTCTATCTATCGTAGCAATGATCTCTGTGTGAAAATTATATTTGGAACGCGTTTAGCCAGTTCTATCACATATGTGATAATTGTATTGAGGATACCTGGACCCTATTTCTCAAAATGGAATAAATTTAGGTTCCGGTATAAATTTTTATGTCGTTCTAAAAGACTTTGTCTTTGCCTTTCATTTTGGTTATTATGTGCTATGTTTCATGCGTTGTTGTTCGACGAGTCTATATTTTGTTTATATTTTAATCCAGTTCTGTCGTGCTTTTAAAGGATACCTGTATATTTACAGCTCTGACATCTCTGAAACTGACGTCATGCACAGCTAAAAATCCTTCAACAAATAATAGCATTACATTGGTTAGTAATGGGTAAGTGGGTCTTGTGCGAGTTGTATTCATTTTATATTTTCTTACCTTACAATATGCTAGATCTGTAAATACCCCAAATAGATGAAAATTCAAGTCGTATATTTAAGAAATACTAGGTCTGTGGATTTCATCATTCTGGTGCAATTTCCACATTATTTCAAATCGATGGCATCATTGACATCGTATAAAATTGTAAGATGTTGAGAAATAGACCATAATTAAACTGTTAATGAGCTCGGGGTTAGAATAATGCCAAATTATAGAAAATGAGTAGTTATGTTTAATCGGATTTAGACGCATTTTCAAATGAACTAAATTATTACTGTGATAAGTAAACATTTGAGTGTAACGTGTGTGACACGTTATGACTTCGAAAAACTAATGGTGCACCGATGTATGAATGTTTTGTGTTTTTATCAAAAATAAAGAATTTTAAACTAAATATGTTCCTTTTTATTATATTAACAATAGATGTAGAGGTGATGATGCCAATCAGATAATATCAACCATAGCTAATGGTGAACCAGTTAAAGAAGGCAATGCTGTAATTCTCAGATTTACTGCCTTCAAGTTTGTGTCGTCAAATCAAGTTGCTTTTAGTTGTAATGTTAAAGTTTGTGTTCAAAGTGATTTAAGTTGTAACCAGGTAAATATTGAATGAAATTTTGTCCCATAAACAAGGTCGCAGGCATATCCAAAAACCGACCTTAAAAAGCACGGATTAGTAAAATCCATTTGATAGCATTGTAAATAATAACGTCGTGGATGTCGCTGTAGACAATGTGAAAAGTTAGTTGAAAATAGTAATATACAGTGGATCATTGCTTGTTCTTTTCTGTGAATTAGAGGAATAGACGGGGCTTTTAGCAAGGCGTGTGAGGGTAATTTTCTAATCAAGCATTTCTTACTCAATTCAGTTTCATTATTACCTACACATACTGTTTAAACTGTGATCTATCCGAAGTAACTAACAGTTGGACTTTCTTTATAGCAATGTTCTAGCACAGCATCTATAACTACACCAACTACTACTCCTGCAACGGCAGTTCGGCGTAAGAGGGCCGTGGGTCAAGAAGAAACTGTTACGGCTTTAATAACTGTTATAGAGAACAGCGAGACGGAGACGATAGCCCCTACAACAGATTCACCACCCACCTGTCCACCGAATAATGAAACACCACAGCCACATGAAGGTAATTTAAGTTTGAAAGGACACTTCAGGTTCGCATCTTGGCTGATATTTTTATCTTTGGACCTTCTGACAGACCACATTATTAAATGGAAATTGTTTGTCAGCATTCTACTTTGTTTATTTTGACATTACAGCGTGGTTCCTTAATAAAATCACGTCTAATATGGACAGCGTTAAATGTCTTCACCCCTGTCTGGTAGATATAAAATATATTGTGTGCATAATAAACGCCCACCGGTAGCAGCATAGGCGCGTAAATCACATTATTAAAACGGACATAGAATACAGCAACTATTGCAAATCACAGAATGCAATAAAAATCAAGACTAACAAATCAACATAACACGGGACATGCTTTAGATAAATGCTTTGACCATAAAAGGTTGTTTTCATACAAAATTGCTATATTTGATATACATGTATTGGTATTCTCCAGGTACAAGTGCTATTGGTTGTTTTCAAAACAGAGAAATCCTAACAGTTATTATCATCTTAGCTTTGATGCTGGTCATAGCGCTGGTTGTTGTCATGGTTTTAATAGTCCATTACTTCAGACAGAAAGATGCTAAGGTTAGCGATATGCAACCACCGCAGGAAGTGCTGCGACAATTTACTATTCCAAGAGTCAATATTTAAATGCAGCTTCTTAATTCATGGATGTTGATATCTAGAGAGTCTTTGTTAATAATACGTAATGTTTAAAAATGGATTATGTAAGAGCTAAATCTGCCTATTGTAGGTCTTTATTTTGGTTTCAAATGTTATATATACCATTATTTAGACATTTATTCATATGACAAGTCTATAATCAACTCTCTAGAGCATCGGATGGCGGAAATTTAAACCGAGTCTCGAATATCAAGTACCGTTGTTACGATAATAAACAATCTATATCACATATTGTCAAAACTTCAAACAGCGATAACATCGCTCAGAATAAAATAATTTTTAAAATAAAATTTTCAATACTGTATATTCATTTTGCATTATCTATTTTTGAATTATAGTAAGAACGACCAGCTCTTTATCTAAATCTTACATAATGCATCTTTAATCATCCTATTTATACAACCTGTTTAAAATGTGATGTCCACATGTTACAAATGGAAACTGCTGAACGGCATACCAGACGTCCACTAACGAACCCATGATAACAATGATTCTACTTGTAAAATATGTAAATAGTTCGGTCCAATTATTAAGTATAATATTTACCATAACAGAGAATGTTTTGTAATTGTTGGTTTCTCTTGATCTCAATTAATATACCGTTTATACAGTTATATAATGTACCTCGTCTTGATGAATGTTTTCTTTTATACCCTCTTTGTTTTTCCTTTATTTTTTAAATTATTATTATTATTTTTATTTTAATTGAAGATTATCTTTTTTTAATAGCACATTTATACGGTCTGTAGTTCAATTAACATCCGAACAAGTTGCTTCACCCTTTTGTTTATTGGATTTTCATGGTAGAATGTAATCAATAAAGCAAACACCAGCAAATCATTGGAAATAGTATTTTTATCGTTCGCAATAGACCTGACCAACAGACTGATGGTACAAACAAAATTCTGCCCTGTTTACTCAAACAACTGAATGACAGTATGACGCACCCCAACTTAGGGTGGTCGTTTATTAAAGTAATATAATTATGCGATGAAAGATTAAATATTAATTATATTCTCAACACATACGAATAATGAAAGAGACATATAATTAAAATAAATCCACCAAATGATGTTTTTGAGTAAAGATGTAGCGGCCTGAAACCGCCATAGACGAGGTAATGAGACGCCGCCACCAACATACCGAACAGCTCATAAAACATTCATATCTTAAAAACCTACAATTATCATGAGGCCAAGCATTAACAATGAACACTGTATCAACAGTATCAAGTAATAAACTTACGAAATTGTACATACAAATATCAGCTATAGGTGATGAACATCTTAACACCAATAGTATGATACCATCACTATATCTCGGAAGGAACATCTTACATAAGTGTTAATGCAAACGAGGATGATCACATCACTACATCCCTTCTGAAAAAGTCCTATAGAAAAACTATAGGTTCCTATAGAAGTTTGTGGGATTCTATAGAATGCTATAGAATGCTGCCGGAAAATGAATTCATTCTGTAGTTTTTTTTCACAGGACTATAGATTCAAAATCATTTACTCTAGTTTTGTGTAGAGTCGGTAGATGAGTTTTTCCAAGTGTAATTTCCTAAAGAAATCTATAGAATACTGTGAGAAACTATTGGAAAATATATAAACCTATAGATTCATTGGTGCTGCTATAGAATTTGGGGTAAAATTATAGTTTTCTATAGAACTAACCTGTATCCTCGAGTCAGTTGAGTTCATCCTTTAGTTTTCTATATCCTTTGTGGTAAAAAGTATAGTTTGCTATAGAACTAAACTTGTATTCTCAAGTCAGTTGTGGTTCCTATAGATATGGTGGTAAAACTATAGTTTTCTATAGAACTAACCTATTGTCTTAAGTCTATAGATTTTGTGGAGAAACATATAACGGGTGAGCCTTCTATAGTTTTTTGTAGAATTTATATGTATACTGTACTTAAACCATTTTAACAAATAGTCTACTATAGTTTCCTACAAAATAATGTAGTTACAATGTACAGATTTCATAATTATTTTGCGATGTCTTTTATAGTTTAATATAGAATTTAGTGATGCACTTGTGTGAATTACGTAAAAGTTTCCAACAGAATTTTCCTGGATGCAGTTTTCCTTAATATACTGTGATACCAAATGACAAACTAAAATAAGCTTACTACGTAAAAATAATAATAATATCTTAAAATAATATTATTTTAATGTAGTGTATATAATATGAATGAAATAGTCATACATGTTGACACTCCGAAAAATGCCAGTGAATGTAGATCTTCACAGCAAAAATAACAGATAATAAATTATTCTTAAAATAAGTCAATGAAATAAAGACAAAGTTTATTTGAACACAGTCTGACTGTTGGGTGATCCTTTTAGTTAAGATTTTAATGACTATAGCAGATCCTGTACTCAAATTATAATGGGACACGCCCCATGCAAAACTATAGATTTTCTATAGAATTCTGTAGAAAACTACACTGGTATTCTATAGGACTTTTTGCCAAGGGATTGCAGAAGTTTCATTAATACTTACGTAAGATGTACCGAGGATGATCCCATTTCTATATTTCGGAAGGCACATCTAAACACACGTATTAATGCAAACAAGGATGATCACATCTTACAAAAGTAGTAATACGACGAGGATGATCCCTTCACTATATTGCGGAAGGTACATCTCATATAAGTATTAATGCAGCGAGGATGGTCCAGTCACTATATTGCGGAAGCTACATCTTATATAAGTATTAAAATACCACAACCATGTCATACTACTACAAACGTGGAAACTTATCACACCTGTCTAGAACTACCCCAGAAAACGCCTGCACATCGATCATCTCATCACTTAACTGCACACCATTTACCATATCTGGGTTGCATTTGATGAGGAAATAAAGGACTAGTATAAGATGTTGGGTGAAATGAAATGAAATGTGGTTTAACGTCCTACTGTTCTGCTCCTATACTGGGCTAATGAAGACGGGCATACGCCATACAGTGTGCTATGAGGGAAATTTTGCCCGGGCAGCGGCACTATCGCCTACTCTTATATCGAATTCCAACTGCCAACGGATCTTTTACGTGCATTCCAATCATACACGGGACCTCGGTTTTTCGTCTCATCCGAATGACTAAACAGCTTTACTTGTCAGGCCCTCCGTTCTGCACCACTGACAAGGGGAAACCACGTCGGAAAATCTGGATGAACTTTCTCGGCCAATGCAGGGATCGAACACCCGACCTCCAGGCTAGCGAGTCAGTGTCTTAACCACCTAGCCACCGTGGCTCCCAAGATGGTGGGTACGGAGCGTCTGGCATAGATAGTACCTGTCTATATCCAGGTGACATGGGGCATAACACTTTTGGATGAAGCCCCGAACATAATAAACATGCCTGTTTATATTTACAATTCCAAGTCATGTTTTATTCCTATTATACTTAAAACAAGCCCCCAAACTACCTGGGACTGGGGAAGTTGAAGTGGCTTATTGATTTTTGCTACAGTACTCATGCCACAACTCCCACACCACTTGGTCCCAAGACAGGTTGGGTTTATTGGTTTCATCATGCGAAACTGCTAATCATAAAATCGCCAGTCTCCATCCATGTCCGTCATTTTGTGTATTAAAGTTATGTACTTTAATGCTTGCCTCAGCTGGATAGTTTTCAAGGCGTACAGCCATGAAAATATGAAACAAATTGGTTCACTTGTTTATACCGAGAAGCTTGCTTTTTGACCTTTCAGCCCAATGAAGCGTAAGGTGACCATTATCATTTGTGCTCAATTGGAGATCAAAAGAATTCTGTATGTCATTAATACAAAGACTATTCAATACAACAAATTGATTGGACCAAATTTTCAGCTTTAATTTTTTAGGGATCATGTCTTGAAGTGGGACAGAGGAAGACAAAAAGGCAAGTTCTCGGTATTGTGTCCAGAATTGAATGCCTGATGCCAATTTTTTTACAAATTTCACAGCAGAACAATTAGAATCGGAAGGCAAACCCCCTACTAATGATATCAGTAGCCGGCGAGTCACTATCATTCATATTATTCACAATAGCTTCCCATCTTCCCATCATAAGTAATCTGATTAACATACAGATCTGTATTTCGTTTCGTTTTTTATAGTTTCAATGGCCTCTACTAAATGAAGAACTGACCGATTGTAGTGAAAGGTCGCATTAGGGGTCATACGAGTGGCTTTTGAACCTATGACGTCAGACATTCGATTAACCAATCAGCTTTGATGTTTCTAGTGGAATACCCACAGTTCCGTGCACAGTACACCAAGAACTTACCGTAACAGATCGTTTCATTTGCTAATCGGTCACATCAAACAGAACGCGGATTACATAACAACTCTCTCCAGATCCTAGTGTAGTGAACACAAGGAACTATAAAAAGCGATTTAATCAGATTGCCTCATAAGCTTCTTGAATGAGGTCCTCAATATTAGTAGATGTTGAAGCTGAGGTAGAGGACAAGGCTGTAGCTGGTGTGTGATGGGTAGAACTTTCAGTAGGGATAGAACTGGCTGCTTTGTGTGTTCGAGTAAGGCGATATTTAACTTTACGCCAGTAGGCATATTAATATGTAGTTATCTCCCTTGAGGAATATCGAGAGTTATCCTCTCGTTATTGTTTATCCCGCCATTGTGAGTTTTGCCATTAAACATCTACTAACCAAATGTCGTCTCGTTGTGGTTATTTCCTATCGACTGGCGTGGTGGCTGACCTGGATTTCGAACCGAAACCTACGAACAAACTCATCTGTTCTTCAAATAGCCAAGTCGATACCAGGTAATAACCTTTCAACGACTCAGTTTATCCTATAGCTGTCGAGACACTTACTTAAGTTACTATTAGTCAAGTCACATGGCTGTATAAGTATAATAATGGCAAGTTCTAGAGCACCAAAACAATGGACAAAAATCCAACGCCAACCCATTCAGAAATTTCACCGATGACGGCCGTTCAGTGCCAGAGGACAGACGATTTACTGCCCAGCAGAAAGTCACACATTTAGAATTAATGCTTGGACAAATAGCTAATTTCTGTCCAGTCATCTCACGCAATACTATTGTCAAGAATTGCACTTCTCTTTCATCGATCTGGCAAGCTATTCGCTTACATTACGGTTTTCAATCCACTGGTTCTCATTTTCTGGATTTCAACAACATCTTTCTTCAACCCGATGAACGCCCAGAAGATCTATACCAACGACTAATGTCCTTCGTAGAAGATAACCTCTTACACAGTGATGGCACCATTACACACCACGGAGAGACTCCTCCTACTGACGAAGAATTAACACCTACCTTGGAAAACCTAATAGTCCTTACCTGGTTACGTCTCATCCACCAAGACTTACCGCAACTGGTTAAACAAAGGTATGGCACAGACTTACGGTCTAGAACTCTCGCATCCTTAAAACCTGAAATCTCACTTGCCATGGATTCCTTACTCGACGAAATTCATTCCAACCATGAAGCCAAAGTTTTACGCTCTGGACTCAACCAGTGCCCTTCTGCTAGTTATGAGAGAAGGTATTCCCCATCTACAACTCAGAAACCACCTACTACTTCTCGTACTTGTCCAATTTGCAAACAAGCTGGTCGACCGAAGTACAACCATTATCTGAGTACTTGCCCATACTTACCTCCCTCCGATAAAAGGTTCATGACTAAAGCCCAACAAACTCTTTGTGGAGACGACTACTTCGATGATTTGGATGATTCTAGCCCTGAACCCCAAGTAAATGATAAATCAAATAGTCAACATCGCATTCATGCGTGTCGTGTCAGCACTAAGCAATCACCCACCATCAAAGTATTCTAC